CGGTGGGGGTTTTGCCTTTGATCCCAACCTACAACTCAGCCATCACTCACTTCCACACACGCCCCTTCCCCCCAAAAACCCCATTGATTACAATCTTAGTTACAAAAAAAAAGGAATACTATGATTGATTAATCAGGCAACGCTAGGGAGACCGCCTGCCCCCGCCAGCAGCCCCGCTGCCACATCCGGGAGCACAGTATCATCCCACAATCATCGACAGTGTGAAGCCATCTCTGCCCGGGGTCCCCACTCTGCTCCACCTTTAGGGATGCCCCGGCGCAGGTGGGTTGCCCCCACGGGGCTGCCTGCCCCCAGGACTCCTTCCACCTACAGCCCTACTCCAGCCTAACCTAAACTACAGCCGCTGCCGGGAGCCGCCGACTCTTCCGAAGCCACTTGGGTGAAGTCTCTGGGGGCCGTCAGCACTCCTCGATGAGCAGCTGCTCAGAGCTGTACAGCTTCTTCTTGATCACCCTGAAGCCCGTGCTCAGCTTCAGCGGCGCGAAGGCCGGCCCCGAAGTGAAGAGTCCCTGGATCTTGGGCCAGAGGCGGGAGTCCAGCCGGAGCACCAGGGTGAGCTGGAAGGTGGGCACCACGGCCGGGTCCACGGCGATGTGCCCCACGTCGTGGCAGGCTTTGCCGTGCTCCACGCAGAGGTCCAGGAGGGCCCCGCGCAGCCCGCAGGGCTCGCTGCAGGCCAGCCGCAGGAGCTCCGTCCTCACCTGCGCCAGGAGCTGGGCCGGCATCAGGAGCCGGGAGCAGCGCTTGGTCCCCAGCGGGGCTCTGCCCAGGGTGGCCTGGACCAGGTCCATCAGGTTGGAGCACAGCAGCTCGTCCTCGGGGTCATGCAGAAGGTCCAGGTCCGGCAGGGAGGCAGCCTCGGCGTAATCGGCATCTGCGGAGGGGACAGAAGGTGGGTCAGCGGGGGGAAGCTCAGTGGGGCACAGGGGGCTCGGCATAGCACCGCCATCACCCTGAGGGACCCTGGGCCACCCCTCGGCCCCCTCAAGAGGGACCCTGAACCACCACCCCCCCACACTCCCTCAGAGGGACCCCCTGGGCCACCCCCCAGCCCCCT